TTATTTATTTATTTTTGGCTGCATTGGGTCTTCACTGCTGCATGCGGGCTTTCTCTAGTTGTGGTGAGCAGGGGCTACTCTTTGTTGTGGTGCACTGGCTTCTCATTGCGGTGGCTTCTCTTGTTGCAGAACATGGGCTCTAGGCACGTGGGCTTCAGTAGTTGTGGCTCGCAGACTCTAGAGCGCAGGCTCAGTAGTTGTGGCACACGGGCTTAGTTGCTCTGCGGCATGTGGGACCTTCCCAGACCAGGGCTTGAACCCAGGTCTCCTACATTAGCAGGTGGATTCTTAACCACTGCACCACCAGGGAAGCCCCTGGATTTTAGCCCCTGGTTTTTTTCCTTTAAGTTGGGGGGAGAAGAAATCTCTCTAGCTTTATTTATTTATTTATTTATGGCTGTGTTGGGTCTTAGTTGTGGCACACGGGATCTTTGTTGAGGCATGTGGGATCTTTGGTTGCAGCATGTGGGCTCTTCATTGTAGCACACAGCCTTCTCTCTAGTTGTGGTGCACGGGTTTTCTATTCTCTAGTTGTGGTGCACAGGCTCCAGGGCACATGGGCTCTGTACTTGTGGCGAGCGGGTTCCAGAGGGCATGGGCTCTGTAGTTTGTGGCATGTAGGCTCTCTAGTTGAGGCACACAAGCTCAGTAGTTGTGGTGCACAGGCTTAGCTGCCCTGTGGCACGTGGGATCTTAGTTTCCTGACCAGTTATTGAACCTGTGTCCCCTGCATGGAAGGCGGATTCTTTACCACTGGACCACCAGGGAAGTCCCTTCTGGCTTACATGGTTTTTGATGGGAAGTCTTCTCTCTTCCTCATCTCTGTTCTTTGTATATAATGTGGCCTTTTTCTGTCAGTATTTCCTGCATTGTTCATTTGCTGCTGTTTGGCAATAATGTGCCTATTTTTTGGTTTTTGCATTGTTTGTTTTAAAATTCTGCTTGTGTATTCTTGAGTTCTTGGATTTGGTGAAGTCTTTTATTATTTTAAAAATATTCGCAGCCACTATCTCTTGAAATATTTTTCTTCTCATTCTCTCTCTCCTTTCACCCTGGGTTTCCAATTATACTTAAGTTTGACCACAAAAAGTTTCCCCATAGTTCTTGGATACTCTATTCTGTTTTCTTTATACTTTTTGTTTCAGGTTGGATGATTTTGATTAGCCTTTATTCAAGTTCTTTGACTCTTTTCTCAGCTGTGTTTAGCCTACTTACAAGTCCTTCAAAATCATCCTTTGTGATAAATTTTCTTTTCTAGCATTTCCCATTTGATTCTATATTAATTTCCACTGAAATTCCCTCATCTGTTCATGTATATTGTCTGCCCTTTTCATGAAAGCATTTAACACATCAACCAGTCATATAAAATTCTCTGGCATTTCCAAAATATAGTCATCTCTAAGTGTGGTTTTATTGATTGGTCTGCTGTCTCTCGGCAGAGGGTTTTATATATATATATATATATATATATT